AGCAAAAAGAAAAAAGCCGGAAGTGGCGCTGTGGCTCAAGTGGTAGAGCGCTAGCCTTGAGCTGTAGAGCTGAGGGACAGCGCCCAGGCCCAGAGCTCAGGCCCCACGATGGGACCCAAAAAAAAAATTCTTGTAAACAACAGGTCTGATAGGGTTACTGGGAGGAGTGAACTTCTGGGGACATGCCGGTTGTTGGTTCTGTTGATGGTGAATTCCTTGAAAACTATGAATTCCAAGCTGGGCGGGGTGAGGTATGCCTGTCATCCCTGCATTCCAGAAGCTGAAGCAGCAGGATCTTGTTTTGAGTACAACACGGGCTACCTAGAGTGGTCTCCCCCACCCCACCTCAAAATAAAAAAAGTTAATAAATTTACCCAGTGGTTATCTGGGATTCTTGGAAGCTTTGTGGACCCCTCCGAAGGCAAACAGTAATGTATACCTTGAGACCTTATTTTTGCATAATCTGCCCCAATCAGTTGACCTGTGCTTTGTGTATGTGTGTCTGGTGTGTGTGTGGTGTTGGGGTTTGAACTCGGGACCTGCTTTTGCTAGGCAGTTATTCTTCCGCTTAAGCTTCTTGTGAGCATGTGTCCAATCAGAATTTCCCACGGGGGTGAGGGGGATGGGATGGGAGACATTCAGTTACTTCCAGCTAGAGACATTTTGCTTACAATAAACAAAAGTAGGTCCAACACCGTGGTCTTGTGAGCAGGAAGTGGGACCCCAGTTACAGGCTGAGGACTTCCTTGTAACCTAGGGATCTCTTATGGGTGGCACTAGTGAGCTTGTCATAGCTACCAGCCATGGGGGCGGAGAAGACTGAAGTTGGACACTGGCAGGCTGTTAGGAAATTTATTCTAACAGGTGCCAAAGGTATTGATGCCCAGCGAGTCCCCAGTTTCTGCCTCCTATACAGCTCAACTCTTAGCATTAGAGCAAGTAAGCTTAACACAAGCCTCCTGACTTCGGTTTCCTGCCTTGACCATTCATACCTACAGGTCCCAGGTTTCTCTGGTGTGATGTGGTGGTCTGTCCTCCATCCCTAGACTGAGCCAGGGTTGTGGAAGAGCTGGCAGAACCCAGCCCCTGTCTTCCAGATGGAATGTACATCCTTCCTGCTCTGCTCTGGGTCCTGCAGTCCTTGAGAGCCTAAACTATAGAGCTGACCTTACAAGTTGTCAATGCTATTTTGGAAGCAGTTGGTAAGGTCTGAGAAATCTCCTATGGTCAGGAACTGCAAAAGGGATGGTAAAAGGTCAACTTGGGGGCCAGTAAGGAAACAGACGCCGCATAGTGGCACACACCTATGATCCCAGCACTCAGGAGGCTAAGGTAGGAGGATTACAAGTTCAAGGCCAGCCTGGGTTACAGAGGGACACCCCTGGCTCAAGGGGGAAAAAATGCTTTTCTTTAAACGTGATGCTCCCTTCCTACTTAAGAAGCAGGTATAAGCTGTTAAATCCCAGATGATAAACTGAGTTGGAGCTGGGTTCCTTGGCTCATATCTGTGATCCTAGCTACTCAGGAGAGGGGCTGAGATCGGCCTTGTCTCACCTCTGTGCACTAGCTCCATAACGCCTCTAGCAGGAATAGATCGCTTTCCTGCCAAGTGCCATATTTTCTACCCTATGTATTCATTTTTCCTTTTTGAAGATGTTGGATTTGAACCCAAGGCCTTGGCTCTGGATAGCTAAGAGCTTTACCGTCCGAACCACGCCCTCTCCAAAGTCAAAACAACGTCCTCGGCTCCGCCCTCACCCTGGAGGGTGTAAAGAAAACTTGGCCAATCCAAGTACTTGCTTATCTGTAGTGTAGGATTTCACTCGAGCAGAACACGTGACTGTTGCACTAATCTGAGATCTGGGATCTTTGCCCCAGGCAAAGGAAGAGAGGAGAAAAATAGAAAAAATCCGGGGAGATCTTTGCCCCCAGAACGCGCGCGCGCGCGCTCCCTCCGAACGGAGGAAGCCAGCCCGAAACTCTGGGAAATCAGGCAGCAGCGAGCCCAGCCCGGCCTCGGGTCCTCAGCGCGGCAAGTGCGGGGGGCGGAGCCTACCTTCCTATTGGCCCAAGCGTGAGGGCGTGGCCAGGATTCCGTCCAGCCCCCAGTTCCTCACCGGGTTAAATGGGCCTTACGTCCGACTCCCGGAATTATTCGTCGATGGGCGGGGCTAGGTTTGTTTACACGCCGCCATTGGCTGGATTTGAATCGGGCCTACTGCGGGTGGGTCGCGGGGCGGGGCTTCAGAGGGCAGGGCCAGCGTCTGACAGCTCCAGGGACGCTGAGCCATGCCAGTACACTGTGACCTTGGAGATGGAGGCGCCCCTCCTCCGATATCGGGAGCAAACTGGGGTTCTCACTTGTTTACTGATAGACACCAAAGGAAACGGGGTGAGAGACAATCACCCACGGGGTTAATCATTGAATAACCTGGTCCACTCCCCAAGGGGAATAAGTTGTAGCTTTAAGAAGCTGTGAGGGCGGGCGCTGTTGGCTCACACCTATAATCCTAGCTATTCAGGATCTAACTGAGATCTAAGGATCACAGTTCAAAGCCAGCCAGGGCCGGAAAGCCCATGATCACGACATTTGACCGATCTCTAATTAACCACCAGAAAACCAGAAGTGGCACTGTGGTAGAGGGCTACCCTTGAGCAAAAAAGCTCAGGGACAGCGCTCAGGCCCCGAGTTCAAGCCCCACAAACGAAAAAAAAAAAAAAGAAGCTGGAAAGGCACCAATGGCTCAAGCCTGTAATTCTAGATACTCAGGAGGCTGAGATTGGAGGAGTGTGGTTTGAAGCCAGCCTAATGCAGGAAAATCTCTGAGACTCTTATCTCCAGCTATCCACCATAAAGCAGGAAGTGGAGCTGTGACTCAAGTGCTACACCACTAGCCTTGAATGAAAAGCTCAGGGACAACACCCAGGCCCTGAGTTCAAGTCCAGCATGCACACACACACACACACACACAAATGACAAGGTTCACATCATTACCAGCTACAGGACCATTCACACAGATTTCTCACCTCCTGCCCAATTCTCCCTCTATTTCAACCTAATACTTATATCTGTATCCTGGAAGATGGATTGAATTCATTTTTCAATGGCATAACTTTGCCCCTTGTAACAAATCTTTCTCATGGTATACTGGCTGGACTTCACATGTGGAACCCCTAGAGTTTGCACAGGGCTCTAAGTATCATAATTATACATGTTCTATAATTCTACATATCCAAACTCTATTCCTCTCAAGAACTCTGACTTATATGGTCTGGCAGAGGGAAGAAAGAGATGGATAATTGAAGAGAGGAGGACGAGGAATGACACAGGAATGTAGAAGGAAGGAGGTAGGAGGTAGGTGCCCCCAATGCTTGAGACAGGATGATCTCAGGAGCTGGGGACCAAAGAGGCTCATCTTACAAGCAGCAAAGAAAGAGAAGAATAGAAAAAAAAAGAGCTGGAAGTGGTGCTGTGGCTCAAGTGGTAGAGCGCTCTCCTTGAGCTGAAGAGCACAAGGACAGTGCCCAAGCCCAGAGTTCAAGCCCCAGGACTGACAAAAAAAAAAAAGAGCAGAATAGAGAGCTTGACTTTAAGGATAGGTGACAGGAGTTCCTAAATGG